TCTGTAGGGACCCAGAGATGTGACAGTTTCAGTGATACTCAGTGGGCATGTCTTGTACAACACGTACGCAGCCCTGGGAATTGGGTTGAGGCTCTGTCTTGTGAATATGCCCATTTTCAAAGAAAAAGACTGGAATCTGAGTCTGTGAAACAGAGAAGGGTGTTTAAAGAAAGGGCTTGGATTTATTGTTGTGTTTATGGTTACACCCTGCCTAAACCAGACTCATCTGCTGGTTCTCAGGAATTTCTGGGATAAACCACACAGACCTAAATTTGAAACTTTTTTCCTGGGTTTCACCTACTCTCAAGAGATTTCAAGACCATGTGGCTGAAGCTACCCCAAAATCACCTGGTCTTGCACCAGGTTTTCCATCCTGAGCTGGAAGCTGCGGTAGTTTCAACACTTGGTAGTGAATCCTGGCTCTTGAGTGAACTGGGATGTAGCCCTTACAACCAGTTTAACTTCATCTTTTGCTGGATTCCAAATCTGTCTTTCCCTGTCACACCAGAGCTAGCTCCTGGTTGTGGTTGAACACTGGGGGCATCTCATGGATTTATATTTCCAGGTTCATAGGAGAAATTCCCCTTGTGCTCCAGAATCTGATCCTAAACTCCATTTGGAAAGGCTACGACCACGTCCAAACTTAACTCTAATCAGACTGGCTTGTCCTAGGGCAGTTTTACAGGAGTTTTCAGCCCAGGGGCACTATTGCATTAAAGTGCCTAAAATATCCGGGCCCTCTGTTTTTAAGGGTATTACACATGCACGCAGATGGCAAGGAAAGAATGGCAGGACTGAGTGTTTCAGCAGGAGATGTTACGGTAGTGAGACAACCTCAGTTGCTGGAGAGAGCTTCTCAAGCGCAAAAGGAAAGCCTCTAACTCCGCTGTTGATTGTTCTTGCTACATGATTCCTAGAGAGAGGAGCTGCCCCTCTGGAAGGCAAAACTATGCCAATATTTTAGGACATTCAGAGTTGAAAGAGAGATGGGATAAAGTCTAAGAAGTAGTATGATACAGGACAAAATGAAGTAGGGGAACTACAGAGGAGAAGAAAGGCAGAACAGGTATTTATCGACTTCACTGCTTTGGTCTTTTCCTCTATTGCCCCTTCTTCATTAAAGCTGAGACCTTTCAGGACAAGTAGCTTTTTTTCTTACTTGTCTGTTAAATAATTGATGGGAACCCTTGTGCCTGGCTGTTTCCTCTGCTTCTTCACCTCATGGGCACACAAGGCTCCTGTAAACATCACCACAGAGCAGGAATAGCTACTGTTAGCTCTGGGACTGCCTGGTTCAACCCCTGCATTGCCCTGTACAGAGGCTTTTCCCTGCTCAGGCTGCAGGTGCTTTTCAGGAGTCAGCAGTGCAGAGTGGAGTCATAGGAGAAAGCAATCAAAGGAAGAGAGCCCTTTAACCTGAGCTGTGAAACAGCCTGTGCTCATGCTGTCTCTGCCCTGGGTTGTCTTGCCCTGGGTTGTATCTATGGATACATAGCAATCCTTCCCCAACACTTTTCTACCCTGGCCAGAAAGCAGTAGGCAGCTGCATCTCCAGGCACTGTTTTGTTTTCCCAGCAGACTAAAACAGCAGCCCCAGCTTTCCCTCCCCAACTTGATGGGCTGACACTGCTATCCTTGGAGCTGTTGTCATGTACAAAGGATGCTTCAGAGAAGCTGCTTTTGCTGCTAGAGGGGGTTGGCTGCCCCTGGACTCTGTCCTCACCAGGTAGTACACAACAGTGTAGGTGGCAGGAGCTGTCAGGGCTGCTTCATGATGGTCTTCACCTTCATTCCCTTTCTAAACTGGAAAGGGACCCTGGGCTGCATGGGAACGTGGTGACAGTTCTCATTATGCCTGGGTGCGGGGAGTCAAAGACTCCATGTGCTGTCCCACTGTAATATTAGCTTAATGATGGCATCCCTTTTCTGTGATAGCTGAGCTTTTGACAGTGTCAGTCAGTCCTACATGTGGGACTTCTGTCCTGGGAAGGTAATTTTTCCTATCGTATCATTTCCTTCTCAGCCTGCTGCTCATAGATGTGGTTTGGGAAAGTCCTTCAACATGTGCTTAACTTCACGGATGTGCTGTCGGGTTTTCAACTTGGTTTCCTAAGGGTATGAGACCCTTGTGACTCTCTTCTTTCTCCCACCAGGTCTGTCTCTAAGCTGCCCCTCCTCATGTTTTCTAGCTATTGGCCTTTCTCAGCCAAATCTTCTGAAGTCAAGGATCTCAAGCAGGAGACTTCAGTTTCCTTTCATGAGAGGAGACTGAAGTTCCCTGAAAGAAGGAAATGTTGCCACATGAGCTCAACCCCTGTTAGACACTAAAGGACACACTTAAGAGAGAGCCTCACATGCTCCTCACTCATGGGAGAAGCCCCTGTCAGAGCTTGTTACTGACCATGAGCTACATACTTCAAGGAAACCATGATGGGTCTCTTCTGCACTTTTCTTGGTGTCTGAAGATATTTCTTTAGGTTTTTGGTCTTTGGAATTATACATTTCTTATAAGGTACATGTGGGACAAACAGAAAGGATGGACTTTTTGGCATTATTAAGCCCATTCCCTCCCATGTTCATCAGGCAATTTGACATACCAATCCCTAACCATGCAGCTCAGATATTTGCTTAGTTCCACACCTGCCTATGTTTTTGGATGAAGGCTCCCTGTTTTTTTTCCAAATGATGGAGACCAGTGCCATTGGAACATAATGTTTTCCATGCTGTGGAAGCAGCACATTTCATTGTGAATAAGCAGATACATAGTACAGCCAGATGGAAACAGAAAAGCTGCTCCGGAAAGGAGCGTCTTACCACAGGCACCACCTTACTCTAGGAACTTCCCAAGCTGGCTGGCAGGGAATAGCAAGGGCTGGAGTCTTTGCCTTTTAGATACCTCATTTCAGGCATAAAGGACCTTCAGCACTCAGAGTCCCGAACCCTCTGCTCCAAAGAGATGCATAAAGCCTTCTTATGTATCTCTCAGGTGTATGGCTCCGCATCTCAGCCATTGCAGCCACTGCAACCATTTCTTTCCCTCTCCCTGTCCTGGGAGAACATGAAATCTTGCAGCTGCATGGGCTCTGGCAGGGAAGATTGAGAGCGACCCCCTTGCACAACACAGTGTGGTTTGAGGTGAGGGAGGTGGATGCTGTCTCAAGAGGGACCAGATTACAACCTGCCTTGCCCACTCCTTTCACGAGCGCTCCCATGGTTGAGTTAGTACAGAAACTGGGAGCACTAACACCTTGCTGGCCTGTGTCCTATGTAGGATAGCACACATCACATCTTCTCTGCTGCCTCCTGAGGCCCTCTCCCCTCCGATTCCCTTGGGTGACAGAGGCAAATGGGTGCTCAGCCTGCAGGTTGCTCTTGTGCTTAGGCTGTCAGATGGCTGCTGCTGCAATGGGGGGAGAGACTGTGGAACTTTGAGACATGCGTTGAATCAGCATTGCAAGTGCTTGGGAAATGTTGAGCTCGAAGCCACAAGTGCCAGTTGATGTGTGTGTGGCACAGTTAGCTGGTAGCTGAGCATTAGTGAACTAGAGCACCTCCAATTATGTAAAGTCTGCTGCAAATCTAATCCTCAATCTCTTGGCCAAGGTCACGTAAGAAGTCTGTGATAGAGAGGCAGTTGGAAACCAAATCACCCGAGTCCTAAGCTAATGTACTTGCTGCTGAATCACACCCTGCAAAATGAAAGCTTTAAACCAGGTTGTATTGTAGCCATCACACCCTTGATATGGTTAATAACTTGAGTATAGGTGCCATGGGGACTAAAACTGATAGTACACGACAGATACCTGCTTCTGTCAGGTTTCTATAAATATGTATCTAGTAACTGCTTGCCATCTATCGGGCATGAAATAGCTATGCTATTAAACAACAATGCAATTATACTACCAACCATAAACATTTCAACTGGAGTTTCCTTTTCTTTGCCAAATGTTATTTGATCGCTCACTGGAGCAAGTAACTGTTCCCTGAGAGCCGAGTAAAACCTGGTGAAGGTTTTGAATCTTTCTTGTCTTCAGGCTTGCTAAGGAGGTCAGTAGACTTGGAACTTGGCATTGGGTGTTTTTAGGTCCTAGCCCTCAGCAAACACGCTTTGTAGTTCACATTTGCTATGCTCCTAAGGGTGCAATGCATTTTCACTCTGGATCAGATAAAGAAAGCCTATGTGTTTCTTCTGCAATTTTCATTTTCTTCCCATATCTTTTAGTTAAGAGGGAATATTTGTAAGCCCCTGATAGGAAACAAGCACCAAACAATCCAGGCTTGCTGCTGTATGATTCCCTAGATTACAGCTGCACTGCAAGAAGGAATGCTATGAATCTACTTTGCAACTTTCACTGTGATTTATTTTACTGAGGATTTAATTAATCATTCTTTCACCAAAGAATGAACACCGCTCTTTTTCCAGCACAGAAGTGAATGGCTGCATTAAGAAGCAGCTCCAGACTGATTCCAAGCAGGCAACCAAGTGTCGGAAAAACAAAAAGGGATTTAACGCTGCACCAACAGGGAGTTTTTGAGATGGGGAGCTACGACACCCATTTGCACCACAGTTCTGTAAGGCCTCTTGGCTGATTGCTCCTAGAGGGACAGAAAATGGGTCTGAATCCAGAATGCAAGGAGGATACATAATGAAAAACGTTCTAAAAACCTTAAGCTACAAGCTCAGGTCTGAGCTGGTGTTTGGGAAAGCTCAGCTGAGCTGAGCTCACGTTGCCGAGGTTTGCAAGGTTGCTCGTTTCTCACTATTGCCTGGGTTTCGGACGCACCATCCAGAAAGACTATTTCCCAGCAAACAACTCAGAAGAGCACAAAAAAGGCTTTTCCTGGGCTTCAGAACTCAGGTGCTAACTCAGATCCAAGTAAGCAAGCCCAAACCTTTGGGTGCTCAACTCCCCCCTGCACAAGAGCCTTTGACTCTCCTCTCCTCGGCTCCAAACAATGCTGTGCTATTGACCCCGGCTGAGACGTGCAGTGGTGCTTACCTCCAGGACCATCTCTGTCATCTGGAACTGCTTCTGGGAGACCTTGTCAGAGCTCACCGGCTCGTGGAAGAGCAGGCAGAGCATGTCATACTTCTTCAGGGCCTGCTTGTAGTTCTTCTCATTCAGGTCGATCACTCGGTCTTTCCCATCATAAGTTGGAAAGTTCAGTCCCTCTTCTGCCTTGCAGCAGGAAAGCAGGTAAAGACCTGCCAGGATCCAGCAAGTCGCCTTCATAGGGGAGACCTTGGAGTGCAGCAGAAGGCAGGTAAACATCCCCCTCCTTCTTAATTTGGGGAGAAGGGGAGACCAAAGGCTCCAGGTGAAGTTCAAACCGAGTTTCTTTTTCTGTTGCCCTGTTAATGATCAGCCCAAATGCTGAAAGGCTGGTGGGGAGCAGCAAACTTTGCTGTCCTGGACTCACAACAAAGAGACAGACAGGAGAAGCTGTCAGGCCAAGCCCTGGATACCTTACATAGCTGTGTCCAGCTCCCGTGTCATTAGGAACTCCATTTTTAGGAAGCAGTTGTTTCAGGCTAAAAATAAACCCTGCAATGAATAAAAAGGACAGATATGACACCATTGAGGGACTTGCTGGCACTCTGCATCATCTGAGAGGGAGTGAGCAAGAGGGAGGGAGTGGAAGACAGCAGGGCTGGGAGTACACAGGCAGGGTTTGTGAAGGGACAGACTTCTCTTGCACAGGGAACCAAGGTGCTGCCTGTCCTATTAGGGCTTAACAAAAATAGAAGGTATTTACTGCAATTTAGAATAAGAGTTTCTCTCTTTATATATCCCCTTGGGCATAACAGTGATTAGGCTTTGGATAACAGATCTCAGTTTAAGCAGTTTCAGAGCCTCATCTGCACTGCTGGAGGAAAAGTCCCTGTTTCTCAGCAGCAAAGGAGGTGAGCACTCGTGGGATTCCCTCCTCCTCCTGCCTGGAGCACTGGCCGGGGCTGACATTCAGCATCTTTTCTGCAGCACCTTCTTCTCTGCTTTTGGAGTACCAGGAGAATTGCTGTCCCTTGGGCCATTAATCCTGAAGCAGAAGGAAGCTTACACTGCAACCTCCCATGTCCGTAGTAGTTACCAAGCCTCATACATTGCTGGCAAGCGGTTAGAACCTTATTGTACTAAGGGGGAGTGAAGGATAGGAGATGTGCCCAGACCAGGGGTCTTCTTAAGATGATGGAGAGATAGCCGTCAGTGCTGGCCTCCCTTTCTGGGACCTGCCTGTTGGCTTAGAAGTGTTTTTTCACACAATCCCATTGCGTTTCCCAGCAAGCAGTCCTGCGTATTCCTTGCTCTTCATTTCCTGGGAATGGTGACTGGTTGCCCCTTCCCCAGGAGCTCAGTGCTGCCTGCTGCTCTGCTGCATTGCCAGCACCACTGCACCATGCTGCTGGAGGAGAACGATTTGGTGGCACAGTCTTTCACCTCTTCCCCTCCTGTGACCGGGCTGCCACCGCTGCCCCATGACTGACAGCAACAGGCAGGTCGAGGCAGGCCAGCTGGCCACAGACCAACACTGGGGCTGGCATGGATCCACTGGAGAAGGCATGCTGAGGGGCTGGAAGAGAAGAGCTTGACAAGGACCATGGGTCTGCCCCCCCCCCCCCCAAAGTGATGTGCAGACACGTGGCCTCATCAGCCTCCTTGCTCTTGCTCCATCACAGCCTTGCTCCATCCCTACCAGGGAAGGGGTGATGTCCCCTGCAATTCACACCCCAGCAATCTGTTCCCATTTAGCTGTATGTGTAGGACTGGTTCAGTATCTGGGGTGAAAGTGAGCATTGCTTAGCAATAACAGGATGGCTGAATCATTTAGATTGGAAAAAAACATTAAGATCATCAAATCCAACTGTAATCCTAACCAAGTTCACTACTAAACCATGTTGTTAAGTGCCACATCTACATGTCTTTTAAATACCTCCAGGGATGCTGGTTCAACCGTTTCCCTTAACAGATTATACCCATCCTCTGGTGTCTTAGAAGAACATGTCCCCCTCAGCTTTCAGTTCTAACCTGAACAGCCCCCGAGAAAGCGACTGAAACTGTGGTCAATGGTTTCCAAGCCTGTTGTATTTCTGTATTTCTGTATTTCGTAGTTTCTGCTTTTAGAGAAATGCAATGTTTGCCTGCAACTTCAAGTCTTCATAATGAAGCCAGAGGGAATCTATGTAAAAGCCAGGGCAAGGCAGCCTCTGAAATACACTTGCTACTGAAACACCCTGCAGGAGTGATCATTTTAGAGATGTGACAAACCTGGGTAAATCTGATTGCTTTTAGTGGGAGACACAAAACTTGTGTCACAGTGGGTGGCAATGGCTGGGTAGGTTGAATGTTTAGGGCGTAAAACACAGAACTGAGTTTGTGGGGTGACCAGGTCTACATCAGGCTGGTTGGTTGCCTTTGAAGGACCCTGTGGATCTGGGGTGCAGGAGCAGGATTCCGCTCGCATCATAGTGTTTTAAAGCAGGCACACATAGACAGGGCTGTAAAAACTAACATTCACAGCTACTTCAAAGCTGGCTTCCCAGGCTCCTGCCCTCCTTTTATTCTTGCAGATCTTCAGCAGTTGCTCCACTTTCATATTGCTCAAGCTATTTATGAGGTGCTTTCTCTCCTGGCTGAATAACTTTTTAATCTGCCTAAAAATAGATACAATCCAATTTTCATTTTCTCCTTTTCTTGCCATCAAAAAAAAAAAAAAGAATAGAAATGCTTTTTATTAACAAAAAAAGTTGCTTTTTTCCCCTGGGGGGGCTGTAAAATGCCAGTAGCAGAGCTGGGGCTGAAGCGAATGTGCTCACACCTTAAAAAAGGCCCTAAGTATTGTGCCATTTTCTTCATCATCTTCGTGGGTCCTGGTAGCAGCACACTGAAATGTGCCCATCTTGGACCCAGAAGCAATTTTCCTTGGGAATTCAAAGCTGTCCATACACCCAAATGATGTTTCAGACTGGGTGTAGGACAGTGTGTAGACGTTATGGATTTGGGGACCCTGGGTTTGTTGAAGGCCCATTTCTACACAACACTGACATAAGGTTTCTCTGTGCGTTGGATCCTCCCCAATAAGGCAGGAGCAACAGCAGTCCCCCATAGGAGGGAAGGATGAGGGGGAGAAAAGTCTCTGTGAAATCTTGCATTTTGCACTTGCAAGTTCACTACAGATATTTCGTGCTATCTTTCTGCATAGTCCTGATCCCATTTAGCTGCCCGTGGTTGCAACACATCTGTTTTTGTGGCCAGTGCCATGCAAGGAAATGGTATGGTTAGCACTGTATACTGGGATACTTGCCCTTTAGCTCAGATAGCTCCTTTGCAAAGCTGGCATCTGTTAGTCTCTGATATAAGTTGATTGCAAGGCTCAGTCTCCCAGCTCTGACTAACTAAACATTGGCTCCATCAGCCCTTCTGCTGCTGCATCTCTTAGCCCTGCCTTGAGAAACCAGTACAATGCTTTTCCTTAACTAACCATCCTAGACCCATCCACCTGAAAGCTCTCTGAGAAGTGACCTGAAAGGGCTCAATGCCTGTCCACCTGAGCAGGTGCCTACTTTGATCAAATGACCTTCAGAATTGGCCCCAAAATTTCAGGCAAAGAAAGAGAGAATTAAGGGAAAAGCTTCTTGTTGGTTTATCCTCTGTTCTCTAGGCCCTTTGAGGGATATTCATTGAGCAAAATCCTGGATCCAGGGAATTGGGTTGCAAAACCACCCCTGATGTTCATTTAAGTAGGATTTTACTTGGCTGCTTTGAAGTTTGTGAGGATAGGTAGCCAGCAGCAGCAGTACAACAGAGATGCTCACAGCAGTACAACCTCAGGCCTTCACTATGGGCTTGCAGAAATGTTGGGTGGGGATGTAGGATAAATAAAACTCTCCTTCTTTTTTATTTTTCCCCTATTTGTATTATAAATTAGGTATATACACTTGCTGTTTCTCTCTCCTGGCTGCTGCTGTTACACTGCCGTTCTCACCTTCGTTGTCCTCTCACATAGTAAAAGAGGTCCCCAGCCACCTCTGATCCAAATGCCCCAGTGAGCCTTTTTTCAGGGCTTCAGGATTTAAGGTTCTGCTTTAGCTAATCCTTTCCAAGCTTCTAAGACCTTGTATGTTTTGTAAGATAGGAGTATTCAGAAAATATGCCTCTTGCCACCAGCTATCCAAGCAAGGTCACAGCTCATAATAACTTGCGACATACTGCAGTCATCAGGGTGGGAGTCTTGGAAATGCACTGAACCTTTCTATGGAGACCAAGGGGACCACTATCATCCCAAGGAAAGCTGTGCAGTGTGAGAAAACCTTGTTCTTTCTCTCTTCTCTTCAGGCCTGAAAGGTGGCAAGTACTTCATGGTGCTTTACATTGCCCGTACTCCGATGCAGTCATGTCACTGATGGTAAGTACAAGCCAGAGAAGCTGTATCATTGCACTCCCTCCTTTTTTTCCCTGTTTTAAACTTCCAAAGATCTTTGCAGCACCTGGTGATGCTTTGTATATTTTGACTGAGGTGCTGTGATCTGCTGTGTGATAAGAAAGTACTGTGAACCCCTTCTGTTTTCTGACAGTCAGATACTGATGTTTATGAGGAAATCAAACATAGCACAGACAAAAGCATCTATATGAAATTATATAGAACTTTTAAAGAGAAGGTCAATAAGATGCTTCGGGGGTCCTGACTCCTCTCAAAAATAGACTTTGCTTTCTTAGACATTGTATCCCATAGAGCAAAGTTGGTCTGTGTCACCTTACAGGGATCATTGCACCCCTGTCTTTGGGAGCTGGTCTGGCACTTGTGTCTTACACAGGTCAGAAAGTACTTTAGAAGGTCAGTACTGGAACTGTCCTGGAAGGATTTGGATAGATACATTTTAATAAGCTTAGAAACCCTACACAGCAAGGAAGGATTTAACTAAGACCAAATGGAAATGGGCTCATTGGCATGGATGGAAACGGGTGGAAAGGAGAGCAATAAAGTGAAAATGAAAAGAATAAGGAGAAACGCTGGAAGTAGACAAGGCTGCGTCTTCATTCAGAGGTCTGACAAGGGACATCATAACGCAGCCTGCAGCAGTGGACTGGAAAAGGCTGCAGAGAGCCTGCAGCAGGACTCAGGCAACAACTTGCCTACCCTTCCTGGCTGGGCTGGAAGCTCTGCTTTTGGAGACTTCTCCACAAGCAGCCCACCCTGGAAAGGGTGTAGGGGCTCCCTGAGGGCTTCCTGCAGGTAACACTGGAATGGTGGGATTTTCTGCATTATTCCTTTTGCTTATACATAAAACACATGCCACCTCTAATACACCAAGAAGACCTTAATAATGGTATTATATGAACTGTAGCTGTGGAGATAGCTTTATGCTTGACCGTACCTGAATTGCGCTAGGCATACTAGAAGCAGCCTCAATCCTACTAATGAGTGGGCAGAGAGATGGTAAAAATACCCCCAAAACTG